ATACGATGAAAGATGAGGGTCGTTAACAGTTGACAAGAAGCAAATATTGAATCATTTCAATGGGAAGAACACCGCAAATAGTTCCCTGAAAGATAAGATAAGATGAGATAAGCTTTATTCGTCCCTTATAAGTCGGGAATGTCAGTGTCATCGTTACAGAAGACATGACAGGAAAAAAGAGCACTGAGGATACGCACACGTCAAACAAGATTTATCATTTCAGATTAAAGATAGTTATTACCCAGCTCCTCGCAGCAGCAGTAGAACCTCTCAAAACAATAATGACCTCTGACCCGGGTGGCACGGTGGCTGAGTGGATAGCACTCTTGCCTCTCAGCAAGAAGGTCCTGGGTTCGAATCCCGGTTGGACGCCAATAGATCTGGCATGTGCCTTTTGTACTGGCGCCCCTGCTCCTATCTCTGTGTGGAGTGAGAGACAAATGCCCAAAAATAACAATTGTAAACCGCTTTGAGACACTGATCTGCAGTGAAAAGGCGGAATATAAATAAAGATTACTTACTTAATTACTTACTATATAAATAAAGATGACTACTTACTACTGCTGCCCTTTGGCAACGCACCCTCAAGCTAGCCACGCTCAATAAACGCAAATACCAATCAATCGACGCATTTAAATGTTACTTGGAGAATACACTATACATATACATTCTTAATACACATGCACGGAGTTTTTCAGAAGTATCTGTTAAGGTTTTCATGACAAAAATACTGTTTTAATGCGAGAAAAAGCTAATCAAAGCAATCGCGAAAAACTCTGAAGTAGATTCCGGGACATTTTAGGAACATTTGCAGAGGATTGAATTATGGATTTAGGTTAAGTTTATGTTTGGGTCACTCACCGCTGATGTTCAGAATTCTTTGTTCAGCTTTCATGCAGTTCCAGAGAGTTCTAGTTTAGAGGTTGCCAGCCTAACTGTGACTCGCATTGCCGCGGGAAAGCCTTTGGGAACTATTTTATTTTCTGTCATTAAATAAACGGCATTCCCAAAAGTGGACTGAAGTTTATTTGTGTGTGTTCTGTTTGTATAAAGCCGTATAATAAGCGGGATAATGTATAGTAGGCAGGAAGCAGACCGATTCGCCCTGTCGGTACTTATTTTAAAATGTTCAAAACAGATGACAGCGTGAAGCTTTCGTCACATCTAGTCGGAACCAAAATCTTTCATCATTTACTGTTACACTGCAAAATGTCATTCTATTTTTTTTCCAAATTCATTTCCAGACTTTTCCAGTGTGTCAAACTTCCACACAAATCAACGATGAGCTTATTTCTCCCATCTACTGTATTTCCTCCGACCTCTTCCTGTTTCCCAGTTTACACTTTCCTCTGTGGTTTGAGCTATAAATCTGTCCGGTGTGAGTCTCATTCATGGTTCAGGATGTGCATGTTTGGCACCGCTGTCCTTGCACCGCTGGGTATGAGTTCATCCAATTTATTACCAGGTCAAACTGGGCCATGTGTCAAGACCTAAAAACAGGACAGCTTCAGCATCCAGCAAAGGCACGGGGTAAAACCAGGAACACGTTTATGGACGGTCCACCCGAGGACAGTGGACATAAATCAAATCCAGAGTGTGTTCTGTCCTGAGCAGAAATAACAGTGTGAATACATGAGGGATCTCTCAGTGTTATTGTCTTTGTCTATTTAAGAGATGAGACATGTCCAAGGCTACACTACAGACCTGTGCATGTTTATGAATGACATGAATACTATTGTTGCAGAGCGGAGAGTAGACGGTAAAGCCTGAGTCCTGGATCTAAGGCCGGTCCGTCTGTGGGAGTGGATCCATCGATCAATGTGGGCTTCCCGGAGGTTTTTCACCTTTTCCCCATTGGGTTGTTTTGGAGACATTTCTTGCGGATGCAGAAGGGTCAAGAACAGTGATGATCCAGGCCCGTTTGATTTTATTGAATTTTCTGTGTTTGAACTGTTTGATTCTCTGATCTATTTCTGAAGAATCGACCACTTTGGGAAGTTCTTCGAGACGACTGTTGTGATCAGGGCTGGACTGGCCATCGGGCGTAGCGGGCAATGCCCGAAGGGCCGATGCCCATATTTGGGCCGGTCTGTCTGCCTCATACAAAACACATGTTTGTGAAAAGTGTAAATCCGTTGAGAAATGTTCGAGGGGAGCGCGCGTGTCCGCGGGGCACCTGCTGTATATACCATAGACTGTATATATTATGTACTCGAACGGGATTCCACCACCTCAGCGGACGCCGTGTTCCCGCATCCAGCGGCTCTGAGCTGGACGCAGGAACCGCTCACAACACAACACGGCGAGCGCGTAGCCGCAACGTGACCATGTACCCAAGACCATAAACGCGCACCGGACCATGCATGTCTTTTCGTAATTTGTGCACCCAATAAATACACAGCTGCAGAAAACAGTCCGCGTCTCCCCTCTCCTCTAAATTAAAGCTCGGGTACCTAAATTTTCCATTGCAATAAAAGTTCATGTTTGAGCCCAAAAGTAAAATGTTGTGAACAGATTAAACAGATTTAGAGCCAGCCAATGGCTGACAATATGCATTTCAGAATTTTTTTACCAATTCTCATCCCTGTAACAAACAATATTGTCTGTGCCCACCTCCCTCACTCTGAGACATGTTTATTACTCTGTTTAATGTAGACTATTCTACTTTATTTTATTGTCTAAACTGCAGACATCCTGATCCTCTACAGTATGCTTCCACATACTGTATAAACCAGGGGTCGGCAACCTTTAGTGCCCCTAAAGTGGCTCCTGGAGCCTTTTCAAAAATGTCTGAAAATGGAGTGTGAGGGCTATATTTTATTTCTAGTTTTTAATGTGGTTTCTGTAGGAGGAAAAACATTCTTAACGTTTTTCAATGCTGCAAAAACTTGTATAAGTAATATTCAATTTTAACTGCGTTTGCGCATGGATCCCAAAGATAAAGAGAGAGTCAATAAGACTGGACTAAGAATGAGAATGAACATTTGCTTTCAGTCAACGAGGAAGGACTGCTTTATGTTTGCGATGTAATGAAAAGTTTTGTTGCAACAGGAGGAAGAATGAAGCTTTAAACACTGTTCACTGAAACATTCATTCATCATAAAGTCAGAGCACCTATTTTCAGATTTCAAAAACCTTCGCAAAGACGGTGAAAGAAAAGGCCATTAAGGACATTCAGCTCCAGCAAACTTCAGCCTGTGATAGATATGAACAGACAGTGATGCAGGTGAACTCAGAGCCAAAAGGTAGATTTATTTACTGTATTTGTACAATTGCATGAAAGTTAAACTTAAAGCAGAGTTGTCACGTGGTGCGTCATTCTCTCCAGGACACGCTGCAATGAAAACACACATTTGATAATGTTTTTATGTGTTTGTAGCCTTTACTTTGTCATTTAGATATTAGGCTAATATAGCTAATGTAGCTAAGGTAGCTAATGTAGCTAATGTAGCTAATACAGCTTCAGCCCCTGTTACCTTCATATAAGCCTTATACAACGCTGTTTTGTTTTTTTTGCGGCTCCAGACAGATGTTGTTTTTAGTTTTGTTGTCAAATATGGCTCCTTGAACCTTTTGAGTTGCCTGGGCCGCTAAGAAGGAAAATATGCCCGGGCCGTTTTTTTGTCCCAGTCCAGCCCTGGTTGTGATTTAGGGCTTTAAAAAAATGTATTGAATTGAATGGAAAAGCTATACGATCTAAGATACACTACATTTAGCCAATTAATCGTGGTTCAAGGCCCATGGTTAAAGTTTGTAAGAGTTTACGCTTTTTTTTATTTTAATCAAAAGAAATCATATGTGAAACCTGCAAAAATCAAAACAATTCCTATCGTTGTGAGATAGAATTCACCAAGCGTTGGATTGTTCACCCACTAATAGGGAACATGAGCTGGGTTCAGACCGTCGTGAGACATGTTAGTTTTACCCTATTGGTGATGTCATCATGAATATATTTATTTTCATACACAAGCCAGTTCACAAATCAGTATTTCCTAAACCTTTTTGAGCCGTGGCACACCTTTTCCAGTAAACACAATCACATGGCTCACCACCAGCTGAAACTGATACAAAAATTAAACTCTACCGCCATGATTACCAATGGAAAGTCCTTCTCATCCTAATGTTTATATAGAGAATCAATCAATCAATCAAAGAGGCACAAAAACATCATTTTCACACTATTTTGACCAATTAGATGATATTGGATCATTTGTAAAGGCACAGCAAACAACATTTTGAGGCACACAAACGTCCCACGGCACACTTCAAAAACACTGCTTTAAATATTTCAGTAAATTCACAAAAACCAACAGTGAATATTGCAGTGTTAAGAGCAATAAGCAACACACAGATAGAAAAATTGCTGAAAATGCTTCCATCTTTAGCTTTTACTTTTTCCATAATCTGTTGCTGGAAGTCTCAGCCTATAACACACTCTAGAAAACCACAAGATTGCTTTTATTACCACAAATGACATGATGTCCTCCTTCCTCCTCCGTCGAGCAAAGACGTGTCTTAGTCCGCTCCTGCTTCTGAACGGCTTGCTATCTCCTGTTTTTTGACTGTTTTCTCTGAATGCCATGTGATGGAAGTTGACCTCATTCACAAGGAATTATAGAGCAATGTCCAGTTTGACGTCAGAACATGCCTTTCGCACCAACTCTTAAGACGCATGACCAAAGCCAGATCTGCATCTAAAAATACACAATGGCCAGAATTTAAGCAGATAATCAAATCAGGGACCAGGAATGCAGGATGGGATGACGAATATGTGGCTGGTCGGTGAGGTCTCGCTGGTTCGGAACAGCTGAACGAGGACGCAGGTCTCAGCAGGTCTGGAAAAGCTACGGACTGCACTTCCTTTTCCTGGTCGGTTCCATATCACGGTCATATAAGCTGTCATCGCACCGGGAGAGCCGTGGAGATAAACAAGCAGCTCTGACGTCAATGAAGGACTCGCATCTGATCCGACACATGCACAAGAGCTTCAGAAAGGACTTATGGATGAATATTATGAGCCTTTTCTCACACTGTGTCCAGTTCCAGGTTTGTGTGTGTGACTGGCACAGTTTTCAGTCAAAGTCCTCATATCTTCAGTATCTAAAAAAAAAAAAAAAAAAACTACAAAAATGCTCTTACAACTGTATAAAGTCCCCCGAGACAACTGGTTTAGTAGTTTTAGGGCGATACAAAAATCAGTTTTCTCTCTTGCCGTTTTTTGGGAGGAAAGTCTGTCTTCAGAAGTTTTTCCAATTCAATACTTTTTTATTGTATGTTTGCCCAGTTCAGTAGTGATGGTTGCCTAACGTAGCCAGAAGTCTCAGGTTTTAACACTTGAACTACCAAAGCAGCCACTTTGATGGCTGTCTGTGTTCATATATGTTTTTTGGTTTTCATAACTTAGTGACTTTTTCTGTTTCTAAATGTCGTTTATTTCCGTTTCATTGTGTTTATGAAATTATTTTGATCCTGGAGTAGTCCTGGAGTAGTCCTGGGCTGGTCCTGGACCCAATCAGTTAGCATTTGGTTTTGCTGTTTTTAATTTATAATACCCAGTTTTAGCACGTATGAACTTTGCTTTACAAAGAAACTTGCCTTGCCTTTTTTAAAATAAAAATAGTGAAAGTGAGTTTAGTTAAACGCACTTGCAGTGTAAGATTAGTCTAGGCATATACAGTAGATTCATCTAGGCGTATAGGACAAAATAAGTTTGCTTCTTTGTCCACGTCGGGCCCTTGACAGCACCCATTCAACACAAAATCTTTATAATTTAGCACTAATTGAAATATATCGTTATTATCGTGTCTTGTTCTGAGCTGTGGTACTTTCCAGATGAACCCAAAGTCCTTAATGTTCCATATACATTCTATGTGTGTATTTACCCGGAACACGCAGTGAGGGAACAATAGATTTAGATCTCTGTCTCGCGCATAAATAGCCCTGAGAGTTATACTGTTCCCAGAAAATTGAATTAAGCCAAAGTAGAAGTCCACATGTTCGTAAACATGAAGTATACGTATGGGAATATGTTATTGTACTGTATATTTATGTAGCAGTGTTTTCTATGGAGCCATGTGTTGAACTGAGAGAGTCTGACGTCAAAGCCAAGAAACCCACCTGATCAGCGCCGAAACATCCACAAATCATCTCTGTTTGCACCAGATCCGCTTCAGGAAGGGCTGCACTGTAAGGTAAATATACTACGTAATAAACAAGCAGCACATAAACATACACACATGTGGATAAACAACTATGACTATTGTAAACTATGGGTTAAAAAACATAGTGTTCCTACATCTTAGACAATCCAAAAAAGAAAAAAATACAATGCTTTCTTCAAGAAACATTAAAGGGTCAAGGCGAATATTCTTAATGATCCCAGTGGGAAATGTGTCTCTGCCTTTGACCCATCCTCACTGCCTCTACAGGGCCTCGGTCAGAAGCAGTGGTCGCCAACTCCAGATGTGGATCGCATTGGAAACCAGAGCACCTGGAGGAAACCTATGCAGACACGGGGAGAACATGCAAATTTCACTCAGAAAAGCCCTGTTTCGACCAGGACTCAAACTGCAGGACACCTCCAATCCGAATTGCTAAATGCATTTATTATGAGCCAAAAAAACATGTATTTTCTGAAATCACAATCATCAGCTTATTAAAAGTACATTATTTATGTAAAAAAATATCTAGAATGGCTTGTTTATAAACACATTTATTTCTGTATAACTTATTTTTCAATTCATTTTGAACTATGATTCATGTTCAAAACTTACCTTGGATAGAAATAAGAGCTTCGCCAAATTCACAGACACAAATGTTGTCTGTATCTAATTATAAACTCAAGCAGGAATTTGACAAGATCATGCATTTTCAAAATTCTCCTTTATCAATGTTGTTTACTTCCAATAAACATATAGTGATTAATCGACAGCAGGGGCAGGGGCGGGGCCAGGGGGTGGGGCCAGGCTGCTAATGGCTTCACCTTTGTGCATTCATGGTAAATAAAATGCTGACTTGTGAGTTTCTCTCAGACACTATAAACGCTGCAGTGAAGCCGCTCTTTGGTGCAGTGGCGGTGACGGTGTCCAGACGCCTCGCGCCTCAACACTCGCCCTGTGTGGTGTTGATGGGAGGGGGCGGGGCCTGGATCAAAGGGGAGGAGCCTAAACCTTTCAACTGCACAGAGGTTATCAGGACCGAGAGTGTGAAACAAGACACATCTGGAGAAACAAAGAAGGCTATCATCAGTAGGCGGCCAAAGAAGAAAATACCAAATCTAATCAAAATATAAAGTCCATGATTCAGATTACTTTATTTGCAACAAAACCACAAAACATTTTTAGCATACAACTGATTCTATTTTGTGCTATTTATTGCTTTTATCTCCCTTATTAAATCCACATTTTAATGAGTTTTTAATCCCATACTTTTATGCTGTTTTAATATGAAACAATTGTGACTGTTTTCAGTTTCAATGCATTTTGATCTGTGTTTCTAAGTTACTCTTGTGAAGCACTTTGAATTGCCTTGTCTATAAATTGTGCTAATGACTGATTGATGTGCAAAAGTCCCACACAAGTTCAGGAATAAAATAAGCTAAAGGAGTACATGAGACATTTGTCGCTGTGAAATTGAGAAAATAAAAACAGTTTCAATACAACTGCAAGAACACAATTTTTACTCTGAATTTGTCTCCTGTGCACAGTCTTTGAAGTCTGCTCTGGGTTTTCAAAATAAAATGTCCATTTATAGTCCAACATCTTCATTCATAGTCTGTAGGCATGGGTTGTGTTTTTGTTTTTGTGTTGAATGGACTCTTTGTGTGTCTGATTTAAATATTACTTAAATAACAAAGAAGCTAGTACAAAATCTATTACTTTAGCTTAATAAAGAGGTCTTTCGTGATGGTTAACTTGTTTTCAAAATTGCCAAAAATAGCACTACTAGTGTTATGTAAGTGTTTTCTACAAATCCGTCTCTTTGACTGTCTTTGAATATTTGCTCTTTTTTACTTTCTGTTTCATCTCAGAGATATTTATGGCGTGTTATTTATGAGGAAAACACACTCACATCTGGAGATAGTGTCCAGTCTGGGACACCTCCGCACGGGTCAATCCTTAAACTCACACTTCAGTCCAGATCAAACGCACCCTCCTGCCTTTGACCCACTCCCAAACGCACCCCGCGCCCTTCCACCGCGCTCCCTCCAGGACGGGGGTCTCGCTCTGGTCTCGCTCTGGTCTCACTCTGGTCTTGCTCTGACCCTGTCCAGACCCTCCCCAAAGACAAACAGTCCCCCTCCCTTCGTCCCCGGCCTCCCTGCTTCACCCTTGGCCTCACGCAGCACCCACCGCCCCGAGTCGAGGAGATACAGCCACTTATCTGAGGTCAGGCAAAGATCAACTGTAAAGAAATGGAATTAAAGCTGTGGTATGTAACTTTAAAATCACAAAAATTGAACTATTTAAAAAGAGGAATTGTATCATTACTCTTTTTAATGAACTGTGCTACACAAATGATCAGGAAATGTGTCTCTGTGACGGGGAGAAGTGTGTCTCTGTGATGGGGAGAAGTGTGGACTCTGTGATGGGGAGAAGTGTGGACTCTGTGGGAGCTGTGCTGGAGAGAAGGACGAGGGCTCTAATGCAAGGCATCCTGGGTAACTCCAGACACCCTCTGCATGACACTATGGCCGCTCAGAGGAGTCATCGAAGCAACAGGCTCCTATCACTGCGCTGCTGAACGGAACGTTTCAAGAGATCCTTTGTTCTTTCGGCTGTCAGACTGTACAACAAACCTGACTGACAATACAACAAACCTGACTGACAGTACAACAGCAAAAAAGAGTCTTCTGCTGCTGGACACCTGAATTTCTCGTACGGGGATCAATAAAGTATCTATCTATCTATCTATCTATCTATCTATCAATCAAATAAACTTGGCTTGCTTTGCCCCTGGTTCTATCTCTAGTTTGCATATGCATGATTTTTTTTCTTTTGCCTTTGTCACTTTTTCCGACAGAGAAATTAAAAAGACCATCCTCACTTACTTACTGACTGTAAGAAAGTAGTTAATCTTTATTCATATAGTGCATTTTTACTGCCCCAAAGCACTTTACAGACTTATTGTACATGTTTTTAGTGGTAGGGGAAACCGGAGCATCTGGAGCATACCTACACAAACACAGGGAGAACATGCAAACTCCATTGAGAAAGGCCCTGTTCCGACCAGGATTCGAACCAGGGACCTTCTTGCTGATGAGAAGCGAGAGTGCTAGCCACATTGGCATAATAAAGATTACTCAAACAGTACATCCAAATACATTTTGAGTGAGCGAATGAGAACACGTTTAGCATAAGCTTGATAAAGGAATTATTAGTATTAGTTTAGTTTTTTAGTTGGTTAAAAAAAGTAAAGCCAATTTTATTTGACAAAAAAAGGATGAATCAAGTTGAAAATATTTTGCAATTTGAAGCATATTTCACGATCCCCCTTCTCGTTCAGGCAGTTCTGGTGTGAGCAAAGCCATGCACAGCCCAGGCCTGACCCGCACTGACCCCGGTCTCTGAGTCATGTTGGCAGCACAGACTGAGCTAAAGTGTAAACCTGTGAAGGACCATCACTCATTCAGTCTCACACGCAGCTCTCAGGACATGAGCTTATCCAGAGAACAACCTCTCATTTCATCATTTGGTCTTTTTCTGTGTGAAAAGTTGTTGTTGTTTTAATGACAGGAAGAATAGAGCATCGTTACACAACAGATGATGTCACACGAGTGAGAGAATTCATCATAAAGTTATAATTTATAACCAATGTTTTCACTCGCCAAAGGGGAAACATGGGTTTTTATGAGAGGCGGCTGGTTTATTATAGCATCAAAAGTTATGACCGAAAAGTTACAAAATGATCGGTGCATCTCAAAAATTGGACGAAAAAACAAGAGATTTGATTATAAAACAGATCCAATCACTATCTAGAGTTTGGATGTGGTTGAAGTTCTACCTCTTTTGGGGCGTCTTTGTTTGTCTTATACCCACGCATCCTGAATGAGAACTAGAAAACAACTTTATACAGCTCAGTCACAAGGAAGGAGATCAGAGTAGAGCCACTGCTTCCTCACAGTCTGGGCGTCTCTTTTTAGCCTGCTGCCCTCGCACACAGAGGACTTTTGCAAATGTATTCAAATGTGGTTTTACTGCAAATGACAAATAAAGGAATCTGAAAAGAATCTGAATCTCAACATAACATAGCAGGGAAAAAAACACTTACGTCTCAGTTAAAAATGACCTGGCAGTAACTATGATTGATATTTATCTTGTGCAATCAGTTCAAGTCTTCTCAAGAATCACATGTGTGTCCAATCTTGTTTGTTGAGGTCAACGTAGGGTTAACTGATTCATAATGTGTTTGTTTATCACCAAAATAAACGCAGCAGAAGACACAAAAAAGATTGTGACATTGCTCTGCTTCAGCGGCCCGGGACTTTGGACTCCCGTGTGTTGGAGTGGCCCATAGTATTACAGAAGTACTGTATAATAGCAGTGTTTTGGAGCAGATCACGTGTCTTTAGTCAGCAAACACAACTCTGAGTCACCAAAAACACAAACAACATCAGCTGCAGCGCAAATGTGTGACAAACCCGATCAGCGAGACATGTCTGAACCGGACTCGATTCTCTGTATCATGACGCAACTCTGTAGAAGTCACTTGTGCGAACAGAGGAGCGTGGAGAATCTCACCATCGAGGTTTGGACGGGGATGGTTTGATTCTTGCTTGAAAGCTGGGAGGCTCGGAAATATTTAAAGCTGCAGTACCACACTTATTTGTTTGTTTAATACAGAGGTTGGAACCATTTTAGCTGAGAAAGCCAAGAAAAAGTTTCCTACGTGGGCATCTATTCCTGTGGGAGTCATGTCAGATTTCTTTTTAATCTTCTTTTTATACTGAAAAAATAATATACTGAAATAATAATAAATCCAACACATTAACTAATACTACTATAAAGGCCCACTAAGATTTGTCTAAGAGCCAGACACAATTATCAAAAGAACCACATTTGGCTCCTGACCCCTATTTAATTCACTCAATAGGTAAATCAGGCCACAACATGCTTAGATAACATTGTATCTTGTAAATACTGGGATCTGATTGGCTGAGAGAGGGCCAGAATCCCGGTCAGAAGACGGCCTTTCTGAGTGCAGTATGCATGTTCTCCTTGTGTCTTCGTTAGTTTTCTCCAGCTCAGTTATTGTGCATATGTCCAAAAAACATATGAGTCAAAAAACGTCTTCACAGTATTTTTGAATATGTGTTTTGTTCTAAGAAACGATTTCTTGCAATTGTTATCGCATGCTTGTGTATTGTATTGTGTTCTAAAAGTTGTCACAAGGTAGGCGCTGTGTAACAGGACAACACATGCAGACCGATGCATATTTATTTGCTTAGTATAACCCAGATTTCCAAGTAAAATCAAGAGAGAAGACCAAAAAATCTATCTTTTTTTCTCTGTGTTGTGTTCTTATTCAATCATACAATTAGACTCCGAATGACATGCTTTCCTCCAACCATCTTTAATGTAAAACTATAGCATTAAGACCCATACACACGGTTAAACATGACAAATGGCGCTCAGATTGGCAATAATGGCTGCAAAATACACATCTCTAAACTAAGGCCTCCCTGAAAACTGCAATCCATTTTCTTCTTTAGATTCAAATTTGCCCGAACACGCACAATTACAACATCATCCTTCAAGGTCACTGTCACAACACTGCAGATCGTTGACCCACCGCAGACCCTGGGGGCTGGGGCTACTGGCCAGGACAACCTTACGACGAAAAAAACCCAATCTTTCACCCAGATTACTAACCTTTAGGACTAATTAGAGAGGTGTGCCGCTCGCTGTGTTGAAAAAGCGGTGGGACCAGGGCCAATGACAGAGCAGCAGAGTCCCCATATGAGAGGGATGTGGCGAGGTGTTTGCATTGGGGGGGGTCTGTCATGTGGTACGTCCCGGGGAAAGACGCTGGCTGCAGATGAGTGGGTGGACAAAGCAGTGTGTGTGGCGCAGTGTACACAGTCCTCAGTTTGTTTGTTATGAAGCGTCCGCACAATGTGTATTTAGGCTCATTATGGCCCATTATCGTAGCTAAATTTAGAAGGAATGGTCAAGAGAATGGACACGTGTTGAGGTAAGGGGATCCCCAGCTGGAGAGAATAATGCCGAGGTAAACTGTGTTGCCAACAAACACTCATTACATAATAGAGGGATGAACTGGGTGAACTGGGAATTCGTTATGTTTCATACATTTCTGCCAACACCAATAAATCAATCCATTTTCCGTCTGCTTTGTCCGTTGCTATATATGCTGACGCCCCTATATACGCTGTCTTCCTCCGCTGCTTGGCCTAGATTGTTGAAAGAGTAGACTAACCGCTGATGTCACCCGTAGTGTTTGCCGAATGCACAAAAATCCTACTGAAACATTGGCAAGTTGGAGCCAATCACCTTATATGGGTGTTTGTTGCATTGACTGATCTATGTGTTGTAACTGGGGCAGATGCAAACTAAGGTGTTGCTAAGATGGTTGCTAGGGAAAGCTGGAGTTTCCCCTGCAAATGAAGGCATCTGCTTGGTCAATCCTTGTATGGCTCATATCTGGATTTACAATATCAAAACAATTACAACAAATTAAAGCAATTACCCCGGGATCATAGAGAGCGCTAAACCATGAATTTAGGCCCACAATTTTAACACAAACAGAAGAAGAAGAAGGTCCTTTACTCGTCCCACAATGGGGAAATTTCAGTTTGATGCATACACATACACATATTCATCAAGGCAAGCTGCGAACATCACTTCCGCGCTCCTTATTGGCAAAGTGGGTTAAGTGTCTTGCCCAAGGACACAACGACAGTGGGAATCAGTGGAGAAGGTCTCGTGGTGGGCCCGAACCCACGACATTTGGGCCCAAAGGCCAAAGCTCTACCAACTGAGCCACTGCCGTCAGTTACTGAGCTTAAGGAGTTTACTTCAAAGTTAAATTCAATAGGAGCCAGAGCGAGTTGGAACAAATCTTTGCCCATGAGCACTTCCCAATGGGGCTTCATTGGCTTCATGCAACAGTACATTTCTCCAGTGTTAGATCCATAAAGTCTATCTTATGTTATCTAAGCAGTTTAGCATTGGTCCTGGGTCTTCCTCTGTGCCTCTTGTCGGGGAAGTAATAAAAAAGTTGGCAAAAACAGTAGGTGTGCGGCGGGGGGCACCTGTGTCTCAAGTTGATGTCAAGAGATTATATAGTTTACGTATTTGGAATGATTCAATATATGACACTAAATCCATTCAAACTGAGGATGGATAAAGAATTTAGATTCTGAGTTAA